AATAAATTTTCACCCTCCAAGAATAACACATATAAAGAATTTTAAATTAATTTTATAACTTGGAATATCGAACAGAAACCCGCTTTTTCATAAAATAATAAAACGCTCGTTTATATGCTTATTAGAAGTAAGAAACACTTAGTTTATTGATTCACCATTGTATAAATCTCAAATTTATGAATTATTATTTTTATAATTTAATTTTTCGAGGCATGATGTCTTCCTGGATCTTGACTGATTCGATCCTGTATAGGATATCAATTCAGCAATTATTATGAAGGAAATGATAAACTCTGACAAACTGGAAGCTGCTTGTAAGAACCCAAAATTTTACACCACAATTCATTTTTTTGATAAATTCTGATGTAAATTTAGTAATTGTTTTTAGGGCCACAATTAAAAATATTTAAGAACTTATCCTTGGAAATGCAATAATTACTGAAAACTTTGAGGTTAGTACTCTCCTAAAAGAAGGAAAGAATATGGGAACAACATTAAGATAGACAAAAGATAATAATATTTTTGGACTTTGATGAATTATTATTTTTTTATATGTTTTATCTCTCTAAAAGAGTAAATAATAATTATAATATTTCTGAATTATAATTAGACGACGAATATAAGCACAGGAAAATAATTTTTTAATCAAAAATTCTAAGTTCTATCTCTCAATTTGATCTTATTAATTATTAATTAATCTAATTACGAATTAATTATTAATAGTTAAAAGTAATTTTGTAATCACAATATATAACCAACTCTCCTCTAAATTGATAAGAAGATCTCTTCAAATTAGTAATTTTTAATGGTAGATATTTTACTACCATTTTACATTTTGAAAAACTTAAAATAAGTTTTAATAGCTACTGATGGTGCCTCTTCAAAAACAATTTGATCAACTAATATATTGGCTCAAAAAAATCAAGAGGTAATAATTATAAGAAAATTTGGATAGAAATTCAATACATCAAAATAAAACTAAATTATTTTGCTTTTCAAGAAATAATAATCTATAAATTTGAATTTTTAGTCCAGATTCTTTTTATTATATCTATTAATTTGTAAAAATTTTAGGATTATAAATAGTGATATTTTAAATTTATAGTTAATGATTCTCATCTAAACTTCGAAAATATATCTATCAAAAAATCATAATAAACAAGATCAATGTCCATAGGCGTTTGAAAACATTCAATTTCATAAAATTAATAGCTTCATAAAATGTATCTTATTCTTCACTAAGAGCAGTTAAATCCAAAAATAATTTAAAGTAAATATTAGCTAAATAAAATTCTTCTGTAGCATAGACTATATTGACAGTTATGAAATATCAAAAAATGTCATTAATTAAAATTCTAATATTCTTGTTTTTATTTAAAAAAATAGTATAATAATACATGATTAGCTAACTCTTTACAAAATATGTTATTGTTCCATCAACAATTATTTATATAAGAATCCAAGGCAACCTTTTATTTTCTCATCCTCTATAGATGACTCTAATCTGTTATTGAATTTTCTCAATTATTTTATTCGATAAAATTGTTTATAATATAGAATTTATTTTTAATATTTTTGTATTAATCAATAAATATCATCATAATATAGCATATGCTATTGGAAGGGAATGTAGTTACATATATTTACTTAATGATGATAATCAATTTGATAAAAGATAGTTTTATATATCTCTTGCAAGTGATAATTATTTTTTGTATTTTAAATAATCTCTTACGAATATCTCATTTTTGATTAATTTCATAAAGATTATATGATTAATTATGAATAAGAATTCAAAGATGATTAAGATGTTCAATTATCATTTTCTGATTATTTATTATATTAATTAATTTGATGTGATTTTAAGTTTTCAATAATTGTTAGTATCATTTTAAAATTATGTTTATATTACAAGGAGTTTTCTATAAGTGACATCACAATTAATATCTGATTATATAATATGATTAACAAAATTTAGATAATAATTTATCATTCTTAAAGATTCTACTAAAACACTAAAAATTTAGTCCTTTTCTAATGATTATTTAGGTTCAACAAAGTTACCAATATTCAAATTAAGTTTTTTTCTATAATATTAAGTTCCTACTTTTCTAAAAATAATATTGGCCCTTGTGGAAATGAACTAAAAAGAAAAAGGTCTACATGTTTAATGTTTTAGTATCATATGAAATTTTCATAATGCTTTATATAATTTTAATATTGAGCTATTTACTAATTATAGAATACTTGTGTAAAAAATTTAAGAATTTTTCAAATTTTACACTTGGAGCTTTTAAACAATCTGCTCAGAAGATTTTATACAATCTCCTCTGAAGCTTTTATACAATCTCCTCTGAAGCTTTCTAAAAAATTTCATTTGTAATAGTTCCTCTATGAAATTCTTTCTAATGAATGCTTTATCATACCCTTCTAAAGTTTGGCTTAGATTAATATTTTATAATACTCTATTTTGAGGACCAATTATAGATGTATGGAGCCTTTAAATAAAATATATTAAAATAATCAAATCTTCTTAACTTCATTTATATATAAATACATTATTAATTGTACTTGTGATGATGTATATAAAAAAATATAACTATAACATTTTATTCCTTATTTTATTCTTAATCTCGCTTGTTTTATAATAAAATATCAAGCATTAATTTACCATTTTAATGTGCTATTTTACCAAAAATATTTATGAATAATTTATATGAACATTTTTTATATAAAATGTAACACTTAAAAAAAACAGATTTAGAGTAGTTGAATTAACAATTAACAAATTACTTAAAATATAAAATAGCTGATTAACATTTACCTCAAATATTTTTGATGTTAGAATTGATTTTAATCAGTTCATCAAGGAATATACTGCATTTTTATCTGAACCCTAATTTAACATATTCTTTGAAGCAAGAAGATTATTAATAATTAAATATTTGATTTTAGTCAAGAAAAATTATTATATGAAAATAATTTTCAAATAATTCTAAACAATTATTGAAGTAAACATTGGTTGAATTAACAATATTATAAGTTATCTCATGTTAAAAATAAAAAACTAATCATTTTAAGATGTTATATTCTTAGAAATGTAAAATAAAAGGAATTACGAATTATCATCTTTTAATAGAGTTTATTTTACTCAATCAATTTCTTATTTTATATATATAAATATTCGTATTTTAATTTTATTTAGCTTATGGCTTCCTATTAGTATTATCATCACAATGGCAGGTTTAATTGAAGTAAAATATAAATTTAGATTTTACATGATATTTATTTTATTATTATTTAGGTACCGATATACTTGTTTATCAAACATCGAGGTCTAAATAATTTCATGATTGCTTTTAGATTTAATTAAATATAGAGTTAGAATAATTAATTTTTACCCTAATTGTCTTTTAGAGACTATTTAAAATAAATTAAAGAATGAGAAAATTTGAAGAATGAACTGGTTTTGAGAAAGGATATATATTTCATATCAATTAAAGGCTTACAATAAAGTAATAATAACAAAATATAAAATTTGATTTCATAGATTTTAATCTAGTTGGATTAAACTAAATTGTTAATTATCATTAAATAATGATTATGCCATACATTATATGTTTAAAATAAAAGAGCCTTCAATTTATGGAGAATTATATGAAAAAAATTTAAAGCAAATGTGCACAATTCAAATGCTTTCCATTTATTGTTTGATATTGTGTTGTATTTTTTATAGTAATTCAATTTTTCATCAATAAATAAACCCTTCTATAAATGACCAAATAAAAATAGTCAAAATTTATTTGTAATGTAAGTTATACTCTCTTTTATAGCAAAACTATTGGAATGCAATTAATCAAACATAATATCTTTTATATAATACTTTCCAAAAATTCAATAGAATACCTTATGTCATTTTTAATTTTTCAATAAATTCAAAGTGAAGTTAAGGCAATTATTATAATACAAATAGATAAAAAATGAATAGATTTGAGATCAATTATCTTAGTTTAAATTTAGGTCTATTTATCCAAGAATTGTCTTAATTGATCATAAATAATCTCCTGCAAGATTTAATGATTAAATATCATTATTAATCAAGAATCTAATTAACAAAATAAATAGGTTCAGAATATTGAAGAAAATTGAATTCCTTCAAATTTTTATTTCCTTTGATATTCTTATAGATAGAATAAAAACAATAATCTTAATAAGAAAGTAAAGAACATCATACTTTTCTAAAATAATTAAAAATTTCATTATTCTATAAATGATTTCTTGCAGGCTTATATTTCTTAGATAAAATTATCGTACTTTCAGAAATTGGAACAACATTTTAATTAAATGGAAGTACATCTATAGTTAAATAGTAAACTATATTTTTATATGTTCAATCTTAATAACTTTTTATTATTCTCATTGTTGAATTAATATCTAGGTATGAATAATAGCCAATGAAGTTTAATGCATCTATATATTCAGGAACTTACTTCTCCTGAATTTAAGCTTTTTGTTAATGCAGAAAAAGTTTAATTTTAAGAGTTAGGAATCTTAAACTACTTTGATA